TTTCAAATAGTCCATGTCACCTTTTCTATTTAATTCATTTTGTAATAATTTATTCAGATTGAATGCTCCAATCCTTCTCTACTTCCAGAACCTGGAAAACGGAAATCAATTGATGAGCCATATGTTAAGGTTTTCTTCTGTTTACCTGAACAATTTGTTTTCTATATGAAATGTGCTACATTTTTGTTTTTGTAAAGATCAAGTTCTATTCCAATATGGTTTATGCAGATTGAAATACTTACACCAAAAGACTATATTGGTCCATTGATGGAGCTGGCTCAAGATAGAAGGGCAGAATTTAAAGAAATGAAATTTATTACTGAGATAAGAGCATCGTTAAGCTACGAAATGCCATTGGCGGAGGTAGATTTCTTAAATTAAATCGGTCGATTTCTTATTTGCTCTCCCTTTCTCATTTTTGATATTGTCAATTAAATAATAATAGTAATAATAATAATAATTTCATTGTCACAGATGGTGGGTGACTTTTTTGACCAGCTCAAGTCCAGGAGTAAGGGTTATGCCAGCATGGAGTACACTTTTGTGGGGTACTGATTACTGTTTCTAATTAAACTTGATTTTTTTTTTTTTAATTTATTAGTCATTACTCTGACTTCTTTGATTTTTAAGCTTTCAAGTGGTGCTTTCCCTAATACCCTAAAGGCCTAAACATCTCTAGTTTTGTCTTTTCACCCTATGATTATCATGTGTCATCACAGATATAAGATTGCTAATACTTTGTGTTCCATTGAATTGCCAGATATAGGGAAAGCGATTTGGTTAAACTTGATATTCAAATAAATGGTGATCGTGTGGATCCTTTGGCTACTATTGTTCACAAGGATAAGGTAATCAAGTCCTTTCAAGATTTATATGTGGTATTTCTGTAATTGACACTTGTTGAATCTACAATGGCACTTTGGATCCCCCACCCCATCTCTCTCTCTCTCTCTCTCTCTCTCAAGTGTAGATTGGGTATTAATATCCCTAATTATCCTTACTAATGGATATTTGAGTAAATTTTTTGTTACTTTTGTAGCACTTTCCTCTTGTAGGCTTAGGGCATAAGAGTTGGGAAATGTGCACTTTTTCAGCTGCCAGATTTGTTGATTATCTTTAGTGTTGTTCCTAGAAAAGCATGGTGTCCATGAAAAGGACTGTTATACTTCATGACCTTGGCTTTTACAATGAAAGACACTTGTGGAAATAAAGAGTCATGGGGAGACTTGGGAACATGTGAATAGAAGATTTACTGTTAAAAAGATTAGATTTAAAAGCAATGTTTTCCACTTTCCCAATAAATTAGTCAACTAACCTAGTTCCTATAATTGAGGATAACTGTAGAAGTGATTTTTTAAAGAAGGTTCATTATACTCTCTCCAGCATTGAAATTTAAAGAAAGTTCACTATGGCTCTCTCCAGCATTATTAGATAATAAAGACAAATAAAGAAATAGGAAAACTCGCTGAGTTAAAAGGTTGATTGGTATCCACCATTAAACTTTCAAAGGTCTTCATCAACTTTTGTGCTTCTTTCTTGAGCGACCTGATGAAGTTTTTGTAATACATACTTTGCCAATAGAACTTACTGCTTGAACTGAAGTTGGTTAGTGCATTTCCTCAGTGCAAGGGGACAAACATATTATGAACATACAAAGATGGTCATGGGAACTGACAAGGTATGTAGTTGCAACATGTGGCTGAGTAAAAGACCAAAACACAATGTCAGTCATTGTAAAAACATCTTAGTAGACATTAAAAGAGATGGATGCACTTCTAATGGAGCATAAGGTTAAAAAGGATATAGAATGGAGAGAGAGGAGATTTAAAGGAGAAAGTATCAAATTGATGAATCTTGATGAACTCAGCAAAAATGATTGGTTTTTTGAGCTTAACCAACTAATGACACAAGATTAGAGCTGTTGCTCCCTTTTGAGTTTGACCACCTTACAATGAAGATACTCCCGCATCAGTAAACAAGCAGTGATGAAAGATGAAGCTATTTTTAAGAGTAGAGATGTAGGATAATTTAAATGCAAGAGATAATTTAAAATTTCTATGTCTATAAATCTGAATGGTGTGTGGTCTGTTGAATTTTATCACTGATTTGTATTCTGATTCCTCAACAGGCGTACAGTGTGGGGAGGGCCTTGACTCAAAAGTTGAAGGAGCTTATACCACGTCAGATGTTTAAAGTACCTATTCAAGTAAGTTCCACATCTTCCCATTGGAGAAAGTATCTGTTCATGATGTTCTAGAAGAGTACAATCTCAAGCCAAGAAATCTATAGAAGAAGTAGAAATAAACAAAACAAACTGAGATTGGGTTCATTTATACATTGCTTAGATAAGTCTGGCAGTGCTTTTCACGTTGTGCATGAAAACTTTTTTACATCAAATTTTATTTTTCTTCAGTCTGGTTTTCTTGTGCTAAGTGCTATATGGAGACGTGATTCTATGCTGACACTGCTTTCAGTTTAATAAAATCATTTCATATTCAGGGATTTATGTATCAACTACTGAGGTTTTCTTACTCAGACTTGTCTAATAGGGCTGTATAATTGTATTGTGTTTTGACTAGATTGGACCCAAAATACGACCATACATCCTGGAATATATGCTGTGTTGGACCCTTGAAGGGATGATACGGCCCTCTATAGCTGCTCTTTTTGTGTGCCTAATGATCAGGCTGATCAGCTTCCGTAATAGGCTCCTTAATTAAATCATTTCCTGATATAGGATTTAAAGAAAAGAGAATGTTTGATCTTTTAATTTGAAAGCCAAGTTTGCTAAACAAGCAGTCAAAACATAAAAACTTGTGGCATGGCATAGATTCATCATCATTGATTGATTATATAGGCTGGCCATCAGTCTTAACTGATATCAGTTAGATATGAGGCTCGTCTTTGATCCATTCATCTCCCATCTCCCAAATTATTAACCTTTCTGGTAAAAATAATGAAATCTCAACTATAAGCTGAAAATTCATGAAAAAGGAAATTGTCATGATTTGATACATTTTTACTTTTCCATGGTGACTCTATGCAATTGGTCATTGTGTTTTGTCTATGTGGGGGAAGATTACTAGTCCATAGTTATTTGACCTTTTTGTCATAATTCTTTTTACTTTTAAATAGAAAAAAAATGCATTTGAGACTCTCTCATTGTATGTCATTGAACTTGCTGGTAACAATGTTTTAAAGTACTTACAGATCAAAATCTGACTTTTATGCTACCTTGGAAAACTAGGCATGAAGGACGATCCCTTGATTCAACAAGTGAAAGGACCTAGCTTACTTGCTTAGTTCAGTTCAAATAAAAGGAGAAAAGAGTATAAAAAAACATCATATTTGTTTAAGTAATGGCATCTTATCTTTGCTATTAGAAGAGGATCTGCATTAGAATATCCAAACCCTTGCTTCTCACCCTCCCACCTCTTCTCATCATTTCATTGAAATTGGTGTGGACTTTCCGCATTCTCTTAGAACTGTTTGGGTCTCTCTTGTTGAAATAAATATCATCTAGTTTTCTTTCTTCAATTGTAAATGATTCTTTGCTTCCTTAAAATAATGCTGGTTGGTATGATTTACAATAATATTGTGAATTTGTGATAGTGGCTTGGGGTTTCTGAGGAGATCCTTTGTGACAAAACAATGCAGGTGTTTTATTTTCTTATGAGTTTTAGGCCGGGTTAGGTTTGTTCATCTGGTGCATGCTAAATTGAAGACTCCATTATTGGATTCTGTATAATAGACTGTTATTTTCCTAATCATCTTGCTGACAAACAGAATATGTAGCCCTTCAGCTGCATAATTGGGAAGCCAAAATCATGTATCGTCTGTTGTCATTTTGTCTGTGAGGTTATGAGAACTTTGTTTACCTGCTTTTATTGCTGTACTGTTCCAAAGAAATTGTTCCCTTATATAATTTGGTTCTCTTGTTATGCTGCTACTTATTAACTAAGATGATTTCTCTTTTGTCATAAACATACCCTGTTGTCTGATATGAATAGGGACTGACTATTTCGTCTATTTGCGCTACATCTGACAGGCATGCATAGGCTCTAAAGTTATAGCAAGTGAAGCTATTTCTGCAATTAGAAAGGATGTATTGGCCAAATGCTATGGTGAGGCAAACTTTGTAGTTCTGTTTTGGAATTGTAGTAATAATTTACTTTGTATCCTATAGAAAAATAATGATAAAAAAAAAAGTTTTATTTTTCAGTAAAATCTAAGAAAACATTTTGAGCCTCAAGCAGGATCAAAACTCCAAGCAATTTCTTGACCACTTGTTCATTGTGTTTGTTCAAGTATAGTGCAGACTGTTTGCTTTCGGCTGATTTATCATATTAATCTTTTTTGCTATTAAACAGGTGGTGACATATCAAGGAAGAAGAAATTGCTGAAAAAACAGGTACTTCATCTGATTCCCTCCCCCTTCAAATATATGTAAATATGATTGGAGAGAGTAATATTATAATTTGTCAATTAATTATAATTTTACTCCCTCCAATCATATTTTGAGGCTTAGGCAGGATCAAAAGACACTTTCTTGTTTACTTACAAATATGTTTCATTTGGTCAGGCTGAAGGAAAAAAGAGAATGAAGTCTATTGGCAAAGTAGATGTACCACAAGAAGCATTTATGGCTGTGTTGAAGCTTGAAAAGGAGGTAGTATGATCAGGTTTGTATACCTTGTATAGAATTTTAGTTGCGAAAACCATTTGTTCATGTAGAATTTATACTGATCAGCAGCGTTATATCCTCCAAAAGATGTAAAACCTATTAGGTTAGCTGTTGACCTTCAGAAACTCAAATCAAATTCCTTGTAATCATCAGTTTGAAAAAACTTGTACATTTTTTATGTTTGTATAATGGATTAATGGCAACAATAATATCAACCCTTTCTGTGTAGCTTTTTGTGCATTATCACCTCTATTGCTTTTCTATGTACCCCAGTTTCCAGTATAAAGTGTAATTTGGTAATGCTAAGTAGCCAAGTAGCTGTGTTACTTGTACTGCAATAAATCTAAGGGTGAACCCAATAAGGAGAAGAAACTTTGGGTCTCAAAACACTTTATTAATGTTCACTATTATTAGAGTGCATGCCATAGAGCTTCTGAATCTTCACCACATTTGGTGTGTACATCCTTCATCTTATCCACCGACTTGCATATCCCGCTGCATTCCCAATCAAATGATGCTACACAAACATCACCTCCCTTCAATTTCCACTGGCAATCTTCGGTCCCGCAGCACATACTGTGATCATCTACGTGCTCAACCTCAAGGCCTATGAACCAGGACCCGAGTGACACATCCTCATTGACATACATGTGCAGTATCTCCCTGGAATATCAGGATATCAAGGTAAACTGTCATCTTTTAACTTGAAAAATACTAAGCGTAAATGTTGTCACATCTATATGCACTTTAAATTTATCATGGAATTAGCTTTCTGTGACGTTCTTACTGATTGATAGAAATGTACTCAGCCAGGTCTTTGGAGATTGCATAAAGCTGCCCTGTTGCATGTCTGAAGTACTTATTTCCTATCTCACCGAATTTCCAGTGCTCGGGTTCGTGGTATTTAACTCCCCTGTGAACATGACAAGGTTAGAAACATAAATTTTTGCTATGTAGAGCAGCAATACTTTCGCTACAACCACGTTTAAGCTTGTTATTTTGAACTTTCATTATGGTGCAGTGTGCAGGTGAGATTAACTTTGGCGAGTATTATGACCTTTTATATTCTAATCACCATTTTTGCTTAATCTCTTTTCCTTTTCTTGGTTTGTTTGTTTATGTTTCATTGCTTTTGACTTCATGGCATACTAAAATAATATGAATATAAGTTAAATCAGATGAATTACTTCTGGTAGAGAACTGGACCAGACTTCATGCACCCTACATATACTCTGGGTTTCATATGGTGGCGAAACAGAGTTGCAGAAAGCGTACCTGAAAATTAGTTAACCTAATTAGAGACTGTGTTCAAATAACAGAACTAAAACAATTTGAATGAATTCAAGATTAAATTTCTAAGATACAGTAGCAGAAATCATCTGAAACTGAATGTACACATACCCAGGTTAACATGAATATCATCATCAACCTTAACATAGAACTCGGCATCCCACTTGGCGAAAGCAGCACTAAAGAATGCTTTCGTCTTTGCAGATAGCTCCAGATAACCTTCAACATGATCCTGTGAGTTTCAATCAGTATATTTAGTCAGTTCTGTAACATTTTTTTTTTCCTTTTCCAATTTAAACAACCTCTTAGTAAAAAAAAAAGGACTCGGCGATTATAATCAACACATACAAGTCTAAGGAAGTCTTTGTGCTGAGCCTCTTCTTCATCGATAGCTTGATCTAGAACTCCATTACCTGAACCTCTATGTGTCAAACAAAGGGTAGAATTTGTTTTATTTCACATCAGGATTTGCATCATTGTAAAACTCCCTAAAGTTTATAGAGTAAAAACATACGTGTGGCCGATCATAAAGCGGATGATAATCCCTTTCTCTTTCTCTAATTTCAACAAGTCTAATCCTGAAAAGGAACAGCATAGTTCAATATGTTAGTTTGAGCCAAGATACCCGTTAGGCAGTATGGGTGCTGGAATTTTATCATCTCTGAGACGGAGTTATCATTCCTTGACAAGCTAGCAACGCATTGAACAACATATGTAGCTATTTTATGTAAAAACGATTTAAGTATAAGAATAAGATGACTGAATGGTATTAAGTACCAGTAGGCATCCAAGTCTCTCTAACAGAATCACACCTTTTCCTGCTGCTGAAGGCTGTGTTGATGCCTATTACAATAAACACTTTCTGTCGTCTACCTTCTGTTGTCATGTTATCACTCAACGAGAGAGTGTCGATCGATTTGGTCATGGAGCTTAATCTTTTATTATCCTTTATATTTTGCTTCCCTCCCTTTATCTTTGTTTTAATTGCATCCATTTTCTTGTCCAATGATCTGCATTTTATTCACAAGAGTTTGAACACTTTGGGTATAATAGAATGGAATGATACATGTAACATGTAACCAGAGTTATTAATGGGTTGCAAGACAACACTAGGACTTGTCCATCCGATTTATCATAAAAGCGGTTTTAGACAATTTTTAGAATTAATTACAATCAATAGATGAGCGGGTTAAGTTTGACCTCTTAATTATAATAATTAAGAGTATTAAATTATCAATTTATCATAAAACTTTAAAAATAAATAATTCTTTATTCATAATATGGAGTAAATGTTTATTTTTGTAACTTAACGTGTGTCTATGGATATGTAAAAAAATTCCAATAAACTAAATATTACTCACATGATAGCTTTCTGATTATTGCGTACGTGTACCATTATGCCTTTGTCCTCTTGAAGTTTCTGCAAAATATATCAAATAATTAAGTCCTGCTCTTCGAAAAAAAACTAAGCCTTTCTTTGGTCTCTCTCTTTTTATTTTCTTTTCGAGTATAATAAATATAGTTAAACGAAATATAATAGTTACAAAATCTATTTTTCAATTTTCATAATTACCTCATCATCTGATGCGCAATTTTTATAGCTTAATTGAAGATGCTTTTGTCTTGATGCGAGGTTAGAACTGTAATTTAGAAATTGTAAAGAGATAAGCTTTTACGCATTTTTTGTATCCTCATAATTCATGAACCATAAACCCAACAAAATAATACATAGTAGTAAAAAATTAGTAAAATCTGTATTTATATACAAATTCAAATATATAGTTGCATACATTGTGCAAAAACATTTATATGCTCTTCTGTAGGAAGAAAATAATATGGGAAGTGAATTATTTTATTTCTTATATGACTCGTCACACATATAATAATAAAAATACATACTATTACTTGTAACTTTGTACGTACTATATGCATACGAGTATTTTCATAGTATAAGATGTGTTCTCTTACATTCGTACTTGTTTTTGATACAACAAAAACTAATCGTCTCATTGAGATTATCAAGTGTGTTAATTTTACATTATATCTTTGTTGTAGAAAGCCATGAAGAGAAGTAATATGTAAACAGATTTGATCACATATTTTGGATATCATCTCCTAAAATGTACCAACTAAAGTATTTGAATTTCTTGTTTATAGGTGATTTCTAACATCAAAATCAAAGAATGTTAAACTTTAAAATAACAAAAAAAACCTTGAAGCATAAACATTGAAGAAACTCGACTTTAATTTATCTAGCAATATTTCACGATAAAATTCGCAAAATAGATTAGAAATAAACAAAGATTGATAAGCAAGAAAACCAATATAACTAGAGACAGAGAAATAAACCTGTTAGAGAAAAACAATCCAAGAGAAAAGCTGAAAATGCAAAGAACAAAAATAAAAGTGAATGAAGATTTCCCACTATTATTATTACTACTCTTGCTAATAGCCTTCATTTTTATGTGGGAAATTTTACACTTTTTATTTTATTTTTTTGGAGAAATTGAATTCTTCTAAATAAACAAACAAATTGGTATGAATGAACTTCCAACCTATTTATAACGACACAAAATTACTATGATCATGATATTCTTAATGGAATTAGAAGTAGTAACAACTCTATATTGTGACTATGAACTTTCAGCTTAGACCACCTTAAATGCCGTTAATTATGGTCCTCAATTTTTTTCTTCTTATTTTCGCACGTGTCACTCTTTCATTGGAGATTATGTAGAGTTTTTTTATGTTACTTTGGTAGAAAAGTCAATAGAAGTCAATGAGTCTAAATCACCCACTGCTTTTGTTTACAATTGACTTTTTACTAGTTGAAAACTAGTCAAAGTGTTTGATTTTGTGAGGAATATATTTGCATGATGTAATTAAAAGGATGGGATTTTGGGTAATTAGGTTTAGGGATTAGGGTGGTGAATGGATGGTGTTATTAGGATATTAAGGCCCTGTTCTTTTGAGATTCTGGATAGAGCAGAGCAATCATCGTCATCATTATTATAACTATCATTATTATTATCGCATTATTATCATTAATTATTTATTATTATCATCATCATTATTATTATTATTATTATTATTGTTGTTGTTGTTGTTGTTGTTTTGATTATTATTATTATTATTATTATTATTATTATTATTATTATTATTGAATTATTTTATTATTATTATTATTTAATTTTTTTTACTCTGTTTATAACATTAGAAAATGTGTTAAATAATATAAAATATTAATTATTATCATTAAATATTAGTTATTATTATCTATAAATATTAGTTATTATTATTAAATATTAATTATTATTATTGTTAATTATTATTTTTAAATAGAGCAGAGCAAGGCAGAGCAGAGCAAAACAGCTCAAAAGAGCAGGGCCTGTAGATTAGAAAAATATACTGTTTGTGATATATTAGCCATTTTGATTTAAATATGATTTCCGAAATAATATATTATCTTAAGGATTTCAAAAAAAAAAAATCTTTAGGAGGTTTGATACCATAATTTAGGGTTTATAAAATCTATTCTAGTTTACTAATTGTCTAGGTAAACTAGGATACTATCTTGTATAAATATCCTTGGTTGATTGATTAAGAACATATTGAAGCAAGATCTTCCCAAACATTACATATGACTATATGAGTGTCTTACATTTATAAAGTAAAAAGGAGTTAAATGTTTTATAAGGCTAAGAGAGTAATCCTCCTATTGTCATATGATTTTGGGATTTAACCTTTTTTAGACTTGTGATGACGTGTCTCTTTCTTATGATGGGTGCAACCCAAGCCTTTATTTAACTTAGTATCGAAGTCTGGCCCACGATTAGGTCGTTTAATGACTTTAATATACTCTGGGCCAAATTGAATTTGGATCTATGTGAGGGTGACAGCTGCTAAAATCGCACTCTAACCTCCATGAAACATCACATGTGACCAATCGAAGTGAAAAGCGTATCACATGTGAGAGGGAGTGTTGAAGCCATGACCTTTCCAAACAATACATGTGAGTGTCACAATTCTTAAAACATAAGGGGCTACTTCGATCCTCCTATTGTTGTATGATTTTGGGATGGAATCTCCTTTGGACTTGTAAAATAAACTATCTCTCTTAATGACGAGTGCGGCTCAATGAAGTTTGCATTTAACAGATGCGCTACCCTTCTACAATCTTTGGTTTCAAGGAATTGGAGATGCCGTCATGTTTTAAGTCAGTAAAGACTTAGGCCCTATTCTTTTGAGATTCTGGGCAGAGCAGGACTCAGTAGAGCACAGCAGAGCAGATTGCAGCAAATGCAAAGTAGAGCAGAACAGATTTCATTATTATTACCGCATTATTATTACTATTAATATTATTATTATTGTTATTAGATAGGATTCCGTGCGATGCATGATTTTTTCATCTAAAATTTTTAATTATTGATTTATTGTTTTTAATAATTTCAGACAAAATTACAAAAGTTTAATATTTATTTGTTTTTACTAATATGATATTTTTTCCGTTATATAAATTCTTTAATGTGAAATGATAAATTTTTAATAATTTAAATCCTACATTATTATTCATTGTTTTACCATATCTTTTATTTCGATAGAATCACCAACTTCGTCCACAACCAACCTACTACATCAATGGATAAATTGAACCGTGAAATGTTAGCCAAACTGAAATTGATATAAATTAAATCTTTGCATTTATATAAAATAAATCAATATATTTACCAATAAATGAAAAATTGTTGCGATATAAAATCAAATCTATGCATTGGAATTTTTTCATCATCTCCAAAAATAACCAAAGGCATCCATATTAAGTATACAACATCTAATCTTATGTCATTACATAAACTAATAATCGTTAAGTATCCTAAATAAATACAATGTAACTAATAATTACAAATATAAATTTAAACATAAGATTTTAAAAATTACCTGTACATTGATGACCTAAAATACTAACACAAAATTCGCTTGATGGGGTTTTGTATTGATACGAAATTTTATTTGTGTCGTATGATGTGTTAGATCTGCATGTAAAAAACATTTAGTAAATTAAACATAAACATATAATCGTTGAGTATCCCAAATTAATACAATGTAAGTAATAATTAGAAATACTAATTTAAACATAGGATTTTAAAAATTAAGCTAAAAATTACTCGGCCATTGATGACCAAAAATTAGCAAAAAATTACTAATACAAAATTCGCTTGATGGGTTTTTTTTTATTGAAACGAAATTTTTTTAGTGTCGTATGATGTGTCAATTTATAATAGTAGGTATCACAAATTTTAAATTAATTATAATTAACGAACAATTTGTATTTCTTATCATACTATCAAAATTTATCTTATAATGATAGGTATCAAACTTTACTATAAGATTTTATCATTTAAAAATTTCTTAGTATATTTTTTTTGGATTTCTTATACTCGTAGTATTGAATTAATAAATTTCTCTTTTCCTATATTTTTACTTTATTTTTTTCATTAAAATAATTTAATTTGTGGATTATAATCTACGTCGCATTAAAATTTTAGATTTATCAAATCTTATTCGTTACTTTTATCTAGGTGGCAACATAATTTTTTAATTCAAAAATAAAATACAAATCTTTCTTCTTATTGGTCGAAATAAGTATATTTTTTACGTGGGGCTCCGAATGCTCTCCAAAAATGCCTACTTTATTTATATATACTAGATGTAAGCCCGTGCGATGCACGGTTTTTTATACATAAATCTCATGAAAATATTATTTTCTTAATTTAACCCTATAATTTTTTTATTATTTTGCTTGTTAGAAAACGGATAATTTGTTTTATTTTTATGCAACTTATAATGCGACCTTAAATTACTAATATTAGTTATATGAAAATTATAAGTATGATAGATATTAGAATAAAATCATAATCATGTTCGTATTTTTTTAACCTATGATTCGTTTGTATAACGAAAACACGTTGTTCCACTATACATGTATAGTTATAGAATCACTATGTTTTTTTTTCACAAACAATAACTTAGACCACCATTATTCTTTTACTCCGTATCAACTTTATACAATGAAAAATTAATAAAGTAAACTCAAAACTATAGGGTTAAAATAAAGACGGTGGAATTAATAGTAAAAGATATGACTTTATAAATTTTTAAATAGTTAAATGAAATATATATATACTACCAAGAGTGTTGCATTACTAAAATTAATCTAATGGAATAAAATTATATCTTTATAATGAAATTTCATTATCATATGTCTTAATAATAGTGTTATATGTATACACTACTATAATGATTTTTACAAGATATTCTACCAGAAACTATAATACACAAAAAATCAAAATTATCAGAGACATCTCTTACAATCTTTAATTTTTTTTCCTACTATTGTAACATTATAGTTGACTTAGGGCCTGTTCTGATTTACTGAACTGAGCTGAAGTAAACTGAACTGAACTGATTGAAGCTGAACTAAACTGAATATTTTATGAGAGAAGGAAATTAGGAACTGAACTGAAAATAAGCTGAAGAGAACAGCCCCTTACTTTTCCAATAATTTCTTTCAATTGGCGCATGGACATAATCCCTTCAAATACAAAATAATGAATATTAAGTTACAATTAAGTTGTTTAACAAAATTTAATACGATAAGTAACATAATTAGATTAGGTAAAATAAAACAAAACATACATCTTATAAAA